TTATAGAAAAATGCTGGTGTAGGAGCCGAGGATGAAATGTCCTTCTTGTGATATGGTCCCATCTTCTGTGTATGCAGCCGCATGTGACCGTGTCATTGAAAATGGCTACGCGTGTCAGTGCTGACACACGTGTCATAAGTTTGCCATCACGGATCTTGGAGGTTGTGCTCGATTCCAGCCACCGGGGGGGGGGGGGCGGCTGTTGCTCTATCCTCTATGACGAAGAGCCTTGATCACAGACTCCTTTTGATTGCCAGCATTTTCTGGTATTTCTTTTATGGGGCCGTAAAATATCTCCCTGCTTAAGTGGTGCCTAATTTCTCTACTCACAGCAGTTTCTGAACTGCTTAAGTGGACAGTAAGCTAGGCTGAAGGTCGGGTGCTTACCCCGACCTGGGCTTCGAACTGCCAACCTTTCGATTGACAAGATTTATTGCTGTTGGTGATTAACCAGTTGTGCTAAAGCCCGGTCAGAATCACTGGGTTGCTGAGTTTTCTGGGTTGTATGGCATTGTTCCAGAAGCATTCTCTCCTGACGTTTTGCTCAGTCTATGGCAGGCATTCTCAGGCAAATGGATGCCTTCCATAGATGTGGGCGAAACGTCCAGAGAGAATGCTTCTGGAACATGGCTATATAGCCCGGAAAACTCACAGCAATCCAATGCTTGTTTGATTATAGTGCTCCTCTTTGGTGCATCATGTATTAGTCATTTGGTTGTTGGAAAAGTGAACTAAGGATTAATCTATATTAAAGTGGAAAATACATACCTACATATCCCGGTCTGTTCCACAAAGGCTGCTGTATGGCTTGATGATCCGGGCCAAACTTGGTACACATACCCTTCATGATCCAACTTCAGGAATATTGGCAGTTTCAACTTTCAAGCAGGCTGGAATTGTGGGAGCTGAAGTCCGACAAAAAACCTGGAAGACTACAGGTTGGGAACCACTGCTTTGCAAGTTCCATTGCTAATGATGGAAGCATCAGATGTAGCCACAGGAGGGCAGCATACAGAGAGAAAATCTACTTCAGAGGGAGAAATGACAAAGGACTAGAGCAGTGGTTCTCAACCTGAGTCCCCAGGTGTTTTGGCCTACAACTCCCAGAAATCCCAGCCAGTTTACCAGCTGTTAGGTTTTCTGGGAGTTGAAGGCCAAAACATCTGGGGGCCCACAAGTTGAGAACCACTGGACTAGAACTATGAGACAACAGCTATGGGACTTCTTTAATATGAAGACCTCGTGTCGGCACCGCAATTGAAGAGAGATGTTGACAAGCTGGAATGTGTCAAGAGAAGGGCGACTAAAATGATCAAGGGTCTGGAGAACAAGCCCTATGAGGAGCGGCTTAAAGAGCTGGGCATGTTTAGCCTGAAGAAGGCTGAGAGGAGACATGATGAGGGCGATGTATCAAGATGTGAGGGGAAATCATAGGGAGGAGGGAGCAAGCTTGTTTTCTGCTGCCCTGGAGAATGGGATGCGGAACAATGGCTTCAAACTACAAGAAAGGAGATTCCATCTGAACATTAGCTTCCTGCGAAAGCTGTGGAACTCTTTGCCCCAGAATGTGGAGGCTCCTTCTTTGGAGGCTTTTAAACAGAGGCTGAATGGCCATCTGTCAGGGGTGCTTTGAATGTGATTTTCCTGCTTCTTGGCAGGGGGTTGGACTGGATGGCCCACGAGGCCTTTTCCAACTTTGATTCTAAGTTTTAGACTACAGACAGTCGGGTGGCTGGAGGCACACAATGTTGTACTAGAGCTCAGCAATTGTGTTCTATAATAACTCCTCACCATCACATGGATAGGCACAGTGCTAGTTGGTTGTCACATTTAAAGGCTTTAGATGCTGTTTGGAACTGTTTGGAAAACACCTAAGCTGCCTTTGGAAGTGCTGATAAATTAAACTTTTATCACAATGGTTTACACAAGAAACAATTATAAGGAGAAAGCTTTACCTCTACACGGACAAACACTAGCAACTGGGAAGATACAGCTAGCTGTTAAGTCTGTTGAGACCGAAGAGAGGAGGCTTTCTGCACAAGAGAGGAGACAAAGTCAAACAAAAATGACTAATTTTTTCCCTCTGGAAAGATTGCACCAGGGGCAGTTGGCGAACTCTGTGGAGGGCCCAAGGATTGCAAGGGTGGGCAATATTGCCATGACTGCTGAAGAGATGAAGGACTGGCCGACTGACACCAAAGGGCTATTATTGAAGGAGAGTAATATTATGGACTCAGGTGGTGGGAGAAGCTTGGCTGAGGAACTGGCACAAGCTGAGATGGAGAGTTCTGAGGCTATTGCAACACAAAACTGGAGCTTGGACCCAAAGCCAGGAAAGCCCCCAACCTTATCTCCAGAAGAGGGTCACTTTAATTCTCACACACCAAAGAATCTCTTACAACAGTATCCCTACCTTGACTTGCAACAAGGAGAAGATTCAAACGAGGGCTGTTTGCACCTGGAAGCTAAGTTTGCTGCCTTCTCTAATGATTTGCTGATAATTAAGAATTACCTACAGGAAAGTACTGGGCTCCTGAGTACTCTTGCAAAAATAATTAAAGCGGAAGTCTTGGAGAGCCGGTGCAACTGTGATTCTATTAAGGCAATATCGGCTGTCAACACTCTAGATACAACCAGGCAGGACACAACTATCTTATGCTGTAGTGATAAAAGAACAAAACAGACAAAAGCAGATAAAAGCAAGCATCTTAAAGTCAACTGTAAGAGCCAGAAAAAAATAATCATGAACAGCAAAAGTGAGATGAAACAAAAGACAGCATGCAAACAAATAAAAAGTTCCAGAAATCATAAACGCGGCTTAAAGAAACTCCTAGCTCTAATTCCATCTTCAAAAACCTTGGTAACAAGGAGGAGGAGGAGGAAAAAAAGTTTCCCAAAGCTGAGTCACAGTGCTACCAATGATGGCAAAGTGGATAGAACCATGGTGACAAATCCTGGACCCCAGAAGATTAACATAACAACACAAACTTATTGGGAATCTCAGATGACCAATACGACAGGAGAGAAAGATGGTAGGAACCCAAAAAAGGTAGAAGCAATAGATGGACCTAATCTGCCAACAGTAAAACAACAAAACTGTAGACAAAAGATTAATGGACATTATAAGGACAATTGTAACTTAGTCCTTATGCCAAACAAGCTGGTGATTATAAAAGTTCCTAAACCAGGAAAGATTTTAAGTTTAGAAGATCGGAAAAATCATGTGATAGGACTTTTGAATAATGTTCTACCAGGGGGGTTGTACACAACGGACATAGACCAGATTGATTACTTACATAATGACTCAATGCATGTTGATGCCATAGTCTCCTTTATCGACCCAAATATAGCCAAATTTGTCATAAGAGCTAGAGACCTATTTTCAAAACAAGGCATCAAGATAACAAGATTTTTTAAGAAGGTCTTCACTCAAAGAGTCCTAGATGGTACAGTGAGACTGGAGGAACAGCAACCAGCACTTAAAGTGGGAAATGAACAACTGCTGAAACCCCATAAGGTTCAAGCCACCAGGCCAACAAAAGAAGAAAAAAGTGCTGATGGGCTGGGGAACCTTGTTTGTGACGAGGAACAGTCACTGGTGGAGGCATATGCAAATTTGCCAAAAAAAGAGCAATGGGCTATCCTGGAGAGGTTGGAGGCACTAGGTAACCATCTAAGGGAAATATATACAGAAGGGCTGTGTTTGAATGAGGCAGGACACACTAATACAGGGGGATGGCAAGGAGCAGCTCAGAATGGTGGGAACTGGTTGGAGATGAGATTTTTGGACTCTGAGGAGAGATTTGAGCCTTCCATTAAACACCCCCCACTGACCCCGGAGGTGAAAGTTGTGAAACCCCAGATTGCTAATCCATGTGTTGTTTGTGACGGTCCATGGGAGGCCCTTGTGGGTATTGAAGCAGAGGACAAGGGACAAATTGCAAGAGAAGCATGAATGCCAAATACAGATTGTGGTTTGAAACAGCCCCCCATCACACAATTTTTTCAACAGGTGGTGCCTAGAAATAAAGAGAACATGGTAAAGGGGTGCCTTACTCAACCACTCAGAAATAGGGATATTCAGAGGCTTGGTTATCAAAGAAGGACAGGAGGGTTATTGAATCTGACAAGGAGACAGCATGATGGGCTGGTGGAGCCTGTGCAAGCTGAACCGCACCTAACTGAGGCTGATGAAGTAAAAAATGAAACACCTCCTACTCAGCCCTCTTTTTTGCAACCTCCACCAGCCCCAAAAGTGAAAATCTTGCAAACAAAATCATCTAACCTTAACTGTCTATCCTGGAACATAGCAGGGTGGCAGACCAGAAGTAAAGAGGAAGGGGTTGGTAAATTTTTGAGGAATTTTGATATTATTTCGCTACAAGAGACATGGAGCAAAGGACCTCTAGATTTTAATGGATACACTATAATTGACTCCCTGGCTAAAGTGGAAAAAGGTAGAGGGCGACCGAAAGCAGGCCTGGCCATTCTGCTGTCTACATCCCTTGGGGCTAAAGTTAAACCACTTGACAACTGCAGCCATATAGCTATGGCCTGTCACATAGAATATGGTCCTACACAGATACTCCTGGTTAATGTATATATTTCTCCCAGCCGCAAAAGGGCAGAGCTAATTCGTACTTGGGAGGAACTAGAAGATTATATAGTAATGTTAGAATCACACTTTCCAAAATCTGACCTAATTGTTACAGGAGATTTTAATGCTCGCCTAGGCCCAGATAATCCAACTTTACTAGCCTCTAAGTTTTGGCATTTAGAAGATATGGACGGCCACTTAAACAAGATAGATAGGAAATCTAAGGATAACAGGATCAACTTTGCAGGTACATGCTTAGCGCAGATGACAACAAGACTAGCTTTAAACATAATAAATGGTGACCCTAAATTTGAGAATTGTGCGGAATTTACCTATATATCAGGATGCGGAAGCAGTGTAATTGATTACGTGCTAGTGGCAAATCACACTTATAAATATATAGAGAATTTCACCATAGTACCCAGAACAGAAAGTGACCATCTCCCAATCTCTTATACAGTAGGTCTTCCTAACGTGGAACGCTTAAGCCCACAACAATATTTAGACAAATCCACTCTACATGTAAGACAAAACAGACTTAAATGGGGCACAAAAAACCAAAACAAACCCTCAGCAACTTCAGACCCCATGCTACTGGTGGAGTTGGGAAAAAGCATAGCAGAAACAGAAAATGCGGAGGAAGCAGTATCAAAATACACACAACTTACTGATGAATTAATTGTCTCAGGGAAAAATTTAGAAGGCAGACTTAGGATCCAAAACCAAGGAGAGAGGGCCTCAGATACACAGAAAGAATGCTCAAAGCTAAGAAAGAAGTTAATTCAAATATATCAATCTTATAGAGCAGAAAACTCCCAGAATCTCCCCAAATTGTACTACACTACCAAAAAACAATACAAAGCCATGTTAGTGAGAAACAAGAGGGAAAAAATAAACAGAAAATGGAATGCTCTGGTTGATGCTTCCCTAAATAACAACTCCAAGCAATTCTGGGCCCTGGTCACGGGAATGCTGGGTTCTGGGAAAACATCTCCCAAATGCCATATACCAGCACAGGTGTGGGAAACATACTTCACTTTACTATATGGATCAAATGAAGAAACAGTCAGAAGGGAGGGGAAAGAAAATGCAGTCTTCTCCACTGGTACCATAGACACACCACAATGGCCCCCAGTGACCAGTGGGGAGATAAAAACTCTGATCTCATCACTTAAAAATGGTAAGGCCCCAGGGCCAGATCAAATACCCCCTGAATTTCTAAAAAATAACATCTCGTGGTGGACGGCCTTCCTAGCCCCCCTCTTCACACACATCAACCGCACAGCCTTAATTCCTGCCTCATGGTCAAAATCTACTTTAATCCCGATATTTAAAAAAGGGGATAAAAACGATCCAGCGAACTACCGCCCTATCAGTTTACTCTCTGTGGTGGGTAAACTTTATGCTCGCCATCTATATAGCAAGCTTCTAGACTGGTTAGACTCAGAAAAAGTAATAGGTGAGGAACAGGCAGGCTTTAGAAAAGGGAGGTCTACCATAGACCATTGTATCGTGTTGAGCCACCTAGCAGAAAAATACCAAGCCCCTCCCTACAAAGGACTATTTACCGCGTTTATAGATCTAAAAGCTGCCTTTGACTCTATTCCAAGAAATTTACTATGGCAAAAACTACAGAAGACCACAATTGACAAAAGATTGCTCTGGTTAATTAAGAGCTTATATTCAAACACTTCAACACAAGTAAGATGTGGAGTACAAGGCAATCTCTCAAAACCAATAGCAGTAAATAGGGGGGTGCGCCAGGGGTGCATCCTGGCCCCTATTCTGTTTAACCTGTTTCTGAACGACCTAGCCACCCATGTCTCACTACCAAATGGACATCCCCCTAAAATCTCATCCACCAATATACCGCTATTGTTATATGCAGATGATGCTGCCCTCATATCTTACACCAAGGTAGGACTCAAGCGAGTGCTGAGTGCATTCTACCAATACTGTGAGAAAAACCAGCTAAAGATAAACTATAGTAAAACCAAAATCATGGTCTTCTCAAAGAAGCGAGCCAGACATAATTGGTACATGGGAAAGAACTTAATTGAACAAGTTTCCAGTTTTAAATATCTAGGGGTTACCTTTCAAGCCTCAGGTTCCTGGGGATGCCACCTAAAAATGGCAGTTCAAAATGCCCTATCCAGTAGTAAAGCAATAATTCGCTTTTTTTACACCAAAGGTGGCCAGTATATACCAGCAGCAACAAAGGTCTTCCAAGCAAAGGTAACAGCCCAATTATTATACGCAATTCTGGTATGGATCACAGGCTTCACAGCTAAAGTAGAACAAGTTAAATCAGGGTTTCTTAGAAAACTGTTTGCTGTCCCCAGTTGTGTTCCATCTGCTGTTTTAAGACTGGAATCAGGAACAGCCTCACTTGAATCACTGGCTTGGAGAAGGGCCCTAGGATACTGGATGGAGAGGGTGCACAAAGGGCCTGAAGCAGGATATACATATCTGATTCAAAAAGACCTCTTTAAATCCCACCGAATCAAAGCGCTAAATCAGAAACTCAGGCAGATGGGCCTCTCAGAGAATATATTGAGCAGTTTTGAGCATAAAAAGTTAATGCAGATCTTAGCGGAACGGATCAGTGACATAGACAAACAGGACTCAATGACTCTGGCGCGCTCCACATGCTCTCCATTGAGTTTAGGCCTAACATTTAATTCTTTGGGAGGTGCCAAATACTTAGAAAATTTAAACATCCCAAAATTTCGCCTTGCTTTCAGTTGGGCCAGATTCAATGCCCTCAAATCAGCCATACTAGAGGGAAGATACAAAGGGACTGATTACGAACACAGAGTTTGCCCATGCGGGGAGGGTAAAATTGAAACTGTAACACATGTACTTTTTATTTGCACAATTTACAAGGATGACAGACTAAGGTTAATATCCTCTCTACTCACCAAGTGGCCAGGGAGATCCCTAAGTTGGTACTGCACTTATTTACTGTCTGATCTTGACAAAAGGGTAACGGAACAGGTGGCCAAATTTCTGTTTGCAGCGGCAAAAAGCCGCAAGTGCTTCATGAATAACCTGTAAAGGCTGAGTGTAACAAAGAGTACTCGGGAGACTTATTATTAATTTGCAATCAGTTCCTGTTTTAGATTATATAGACAGTCATTCATCCGATAGCGAATGGTGATACTTGTTTTTATTAATTATAAGCCAAATGTGATGTTATTAATTGTTAATTGTTGTATTTCATCATTCTACTTTCACTTGACTTAGCCGATGGTTTGTTGACCGAAATAAAGGCTACTGACTGACTGAGGTTCAAAAGCAGACTCGTGGGAAACCAACACAACATCCCTGAAATCCGCTCACTTTTAAGAGATCCACTTGTACAACACAGCAAACAGTGAACACAGGAAAACACCCAACAGTTTGACTTTTTATTTTATTGGTTTTTTTAAACAACTTTTTTTGGTTTTTATTTATTAAACAAACCAGCTCGACCACCTGTTTAAAAACTCAACGCTTCCTATTTCAAACTCAGGGGAGCAAATGGACAGGAGAGGAGGCAAGCTCCCAGTCTCACTTCCCCCCGGCCCCCATAAATAGAAGAGGGGAGAGGTGAGACCCCCATGTGTTCATATTTATATATATTTACACTCCACATCTCAGAGCTGCTCCCCCCTCAGATCAAAAGGGCAACCTTAGCCCCTTGCCAGGAAAAAAAAAGGAAAAAAATCAGAAACAAAACTTAGGTTGAAACCAAAGGAAATAAGCAAAGATACATTCAGCTGGGAGCTTCCCAAAATCCTGATCCTTGCCTCCCTCCCGTACACTACGTGTCTAACACCCCCTAACTGAGGGGGCAAATTCCAGTGTCGCCCTCCTCACAAAACAGAAAAGGAATCAAGGAGACACCCCATATTCAGGATACACCAAGGGGGGGGGGGAGGAGGAAGAGGAGGACAGAGCCCCCACAAAACAGCCCCCTTCCCAGCATTTTCGAGGAAGGGGACAGAATGAAAAAGGGAAGGACTCCGCATCCTGGACTAGTGGTGGCTAGAGAGACTGGGGTCTTGTTTGTCGCTGTGGGAGCGGGGGTCCGGCTCGAGGCGTCGAGGGGGGGCGCCGTCACGGGGTTGGGGCGCTCGCTCCCAGGCACGCGGGCTCCAGCGCACGTCCGACTGCAAAGCCAAGGAGGGAGAGGGAGGTCACACGAGGGCATTATTTATTTGTCATATTTATATACCACCCTTCTCAACCCCGAAGGGGTTGAGATTCAATGCCATCAATAAATAAATAAAAAACAGTATAAAATACCTGCAGTACCCGCACACTAATGACATAATCATGTGCTACATTTTTCTTTTTAAAGAAGAGCTAGCGCTATCCATCCATCCATCAAGAAGCCACTGACCTGCTGGTAGACCTCAAAGCGCTGGGCGCGGAAGATGCTACCATAGCCAGACGCAGGGGATTTCAGCCTGGCATTGAAGCCTCCAGAGAAAGGTCTGTGAATGAGAAGAGCGGGTTTCAACAAAGAGGGAGAAACCCACATTTAGCCTCTGTCTAGCCCAGTGGTTCTCAACCTTCCTAATGCCACAACCCCCTTAATACAGATCCTCATGTTGTGGTGACCCCCAGTCATAAAATTACTTTTGTTGCTACTTCATAACTGTAATGTTGCTACTGTTATGAATCATTATGTAAATATCTGATATGCAGGATATATTTTTATGCACTGGACCAAATTTGGCACAAATACCTGATATGCCCAAATTTGAATACTGGTGGAGTTCGGAGGATTGTTATTTGGGAGTTGCAGTTCCTGGGATTTATAGTTAATCTACATTCAAAGAGCATTCTGAACTCCATCAACAATGGAATTGAACCAAATTTGGCACACAGAACTCCCATCACCAACAGAAAATACTGAAAGGGCTTGGTGGGCATTGACCTTGAGTTTTGGAGTTGTAGTTCACCTACATCCAGAGAGCACTGTGGACTCAAACAATGATGGATCTGGTCCAAACTTTGCACAAATGCTCAATATGCCCAAATGTGAACACTGGCGGAGTTTGGGGGAAACAGACCTTGACATTTGGGAGTTGTGGTTGCTGGAATTTATAGTTCATCTAAAATCAAAGAGCAGTCTGAACCCCACCAAAGATAGAACTGGGCCAAACTTCCCACACAGAACCCCCATGATCAACAAAAAAATACTGTTGTTTCTGATGTTCTTTGGTGACCCCTCTGACACCCCCTTGCTACCCCCCAGCGGTCTCAACTCCCAGGTTGAGAAACACTGGTCTAGCCATTTCTGTTGGGCAAGTGGGCTTAATAACTAAGGAACCTCCTCATAAATGCACAGAAGAGTAACTTAACAGCAGCAGCTTGAGCAAGCACCAGTAGTCAAAAGTGATAAAAAGAACAAAAACACACAGATCAATGTTATCTCTTCCATAGGAGGCTTTTCTTTGAAGTAAAATAATATGGAACTAGGTATCCATTACACAAATAAACAAATACATAATAGCTTTACATGCTGTAGTCCCTTCACACTGGAGCTTTCTCACACAAGGATTCTCTCACACAGGGGTTTACCTCACAGTCCTCAGAACGACACTAGCTTTGGCCCACTGACTCTAAAAGGCTTTGGTCTACTAACTCTTTCAGTGCTTGACTCACACATTTGTAATCAAAACTATCCAGTTAATTTTTGACAGTTTTTTCCTTCCGCAGGTTACTCACCTGCCTCCAGAAGGGGGTCTGGCCCCTGCAGCCCCCAGGCCATTCAGCTTCCTGTAGTCTTGTAGTGGCTTCATTTCTAGGGCATGGAGCTGTGGAAGAGAATGGTCGTCAGAACCAGACAGAAGGTGGGGAGAAAGCCCTCACTCAACCCAAGCTCCCCCGCTCAAACCGGCTTCCTTACCTCACTACGGCCCACTCCGCCGTGAGGGAATGCTCTCACGGCTGGAGACATGAGGCGCCCCGGCATCTGTCCCGGCGGGCGCAAGGCCTGGGTGGCCATGGGGACCAGGGGCATGGGAGGCGGTGGTGGGGCGGTGGCTGTGGGCGGGGCTTGCTGCAAAGAGCCAAAGTTCACCACGGGTGAGAGTTGGGGCGGCTCCACCACTGGCAAAAGTACCTGGGCAGAAGAGAAGCAGAGAGCACGCTAGGAGTGGAGGCAAGGAGGGGAACAGAAGCCCAGTCTCCTACCGGCTATTAGGAATTGTGGAAGTCCAAAACACCTGGAGGGCCAAAGTTTAACCATGCTTTGCTCACCTGCTGTGCTGGGCCCGTGGCTGTCAGAAAGTTGCTCTGGCTTCCTTGCCCAAGGGTAGCGGGGTAGTACTCCGACGGGGAGGCCAGCTCTTGGCGCATCTGCTGAAAAAGCAGACCGTGAATCACAAATAACAGGGAGACAATCGCTGGGCTTATACCGTGAAATAACAGAGGAGGCTGCAAATCTGGACACATTTGCTCAGCGAAGGACGGCTGGCCTGATCAATGGTTTGGAAGCCAAGCCCTTTGAGGAGCATCTTAAAAGGCTGGGCCTGTTTAGCTTGGGGGAAAGAAGGCTGAGAGGGGACAGGTTTCATTCTTTGGAAGGATATCAAGCAAACTTGTTTTCTGCTACTGTGGAGACTAGGACACAGAGCAATGGATTCAATTTGCAGGAAAAGACATTCCACTTGTTGAATATCCCTTAATCAAAATACTTTACTTGGAAAGGAGACCAAAGTCTGAATAAAACATTGAGTTATATATTTCAAAAATATCTGATATCACATAGCCTGAAGGTAATTCTATGCAATATTTTAATCATTTTGGGCAAGGAAGTAAGTTTGTGTGTACTGACCCATGAGAAAGCAAGGGCATTAGTTTCAGCCAGCCATGTGGTCAGTTTTGGGGTATGTCAGATAAGTGATATTCACCCTGTGTATGTATGTATGTATGTATGTATGTGTGTGTGTGTGTGTGTGTGTGTGTGTGTGTGTGTGTATATATATATATATATATATAGATAGATAGATAGATAGATAGATAGGTCTCAAGACATATCCACTAGAAACATCAGCTGATGCTGTGAATGTTACACAGTGTATCGTGTACTCTGTTTTATCAAGGGACTCGGAAATGAGATAATACAACTATATCTAAAGCGAAATCTATGAAGATAAATTACTCCCAGGGCACTCTTTGTTGCTAAGCACTTAGGGAGAAATACAGGTCCATTATTAATTTTAATCAGACAGAAAGTACAGCTATTTAAAGCTAAAAGGTGCAAGACTCTTACTGCTATTTTATGTAACATGACGATTTGAGATTTACATTGTGAACCAAGGCCTACACTTGAGACCATTGACGAAGGCGTTCTATCCTGAGTTGTAGTGAGTTTACTGGGCTGTATAGCCATGGTCCATAATCATTTTCTCCTGAGGTTACAGATATATAAACCCCACTTGCATAGTTTCCAACAGACCTCACAACCTCTGAGGATGTCCGCCATAGATGCAAGCAAAACGTCAGGAGAATGCTTCTGGAACATGGCCATACAGCCTGGAAAACTCACAGCAACCTAGTGTTTCTCGCCAAGAAAGCCTTCGACAACATGGAGTTCTATCTTGTCTGCAAAATGCATGTATAGAAGTCTCCCTGAGATCTACGGTGACTATCTAAGCCTATGAAGATTCTATTTTCCATTTTTCCTTCATTTTGAACTTCAAGGCACTTCACCAAACCATTTAGAACAGATATGTCAAACTTATAGCCCCCCAAGTGTTTGGCACCCCCAACTCCTAGAGTCCTAACTAGATTGTCCAATGGCCAGAAATTCTGGGAGCTGAAGTCCAAAACACTTTAAGGGCCACAAGTGTGACAACACTGATTTAGAAATTTTTGAGATGACTTCCTGGTCGATTTTGGAACTGTCGAGGAAAAAAGAACTCTGGAAATTGTGTGGAACTTCCTGTATTGTTCCCATTTTACCCATGAGGAAACACACTTGCCTTTTGGCACCAGACAGGAATGCACTCCTTACTAGCATGGCTGGGAAGGGGCAAACCCATATCACAATTCCAGATATCTCCACTTTCCAAGAACAACCAAAAGCTACTGAGTTCCCCACGAATGCTGCCCTGGTGCGCCAGTACCTGAAGCATGGCTTGCTCTGGAGGAAGCTGGCTGCCGCAGAAGGCCGAGCTGTAGATGAAGGAAGGCGGGGGCGCCTGGTACAGCAACCCCGTGGCCGGCAGCTTGGGGAGTTCGGCCGCCTGCAGGGCCGAGATCTCCACGTACTGCCCCTTCAGTGCCACCCCTGAGAGCAAGGCCGAGCTGGAGAGAACAGCGCCTGCTGCCCCCTGAGCGGGAGAGGCTGGGCCCGGGCTGGGCTGGAGGTACAGGTGCTGGGACCTAATGGGGAAAGAAGCCAATTGAGGTCGGTGGAGGAAGTCCGCAGAATGGGCAAATGGACAACACCAAAAAGGTCCATCTTATCCCTCTCCTTCCCTCCTCCCTTCCCACCTGTAAGTGTGCAAGGAGGGGGTGCTCGGACGGTGGTAATTGCTGGCCCCGCTTGTCCCATGAAGCTGCGACTCTAGCTGAGAAGTGGGGACCTGCAGGGGTGAGACACAAAGAGCAGTCAGTCAGAACATGAGGCAATGTTTCCAATGTGGGAGGGAGGGAGGCAGCCAGCAAGACACAGCAGCATCGTGTCTCGTCCAGCTGCCGTTTGGAGCCCCTCTCACCAACTATCTGTCATTACATTGTCCACTGAGTGGGAGGGAGGTAGCCAGCCAGACATAGCAATATTGTGTCATATGTAATACTAGCTTGGGTCCACGGGAAATTTGAAAAAGTCAGTATTTTAATTGTACGAAATGCATAAGGTTGTGGGTGAACTACAACTCACATCATGCCAGGATAACCCTGAGAAACTCCACCAGTACTTAAAGTTTGTTATGTTGAGCAAGTTTGCTCTAGATGCCTCATTGGTGGGGTTCAGTGTGCTCTCTGGCTGTAGGGTAAACTACAATCCCCACTATGGTGAGTCAGTCCTCCTCAAGCCCCTCCAGTAGGTTGAGTTAGTCATGGGGGTTCTGTGTGCCAAGTTTGGTCCAGGCCCATCATCAGTGGAGGTCAGTTTCTCTGGTTGTGGGTGAACTACAACTCCCAGAAAGGAAGGCCAGTTCTCCTCAAACTCCTTCAGTCATCAAATTTTTGGCATATCAGGTATGTGTGCCAAGTTTGGTCCAGCTCTATCTGTGTTTGGGTTTACAGTCCTCTCTGGATGTAGGTGAACAGGAGATTGTACCTGGTTCCCATAGAAGAGCTCTGGGTAGAGTCGCTGGCCCTGGCCTCGCTCGCCTGCACAGACAGAAACACAGAAGGGTCACGCATCCATTGCCTGGCAAACACTGAAAGGACTCCCTTCCTCCCCAATCCCTGGCCTCTCTTAACTACCTGAAAACATAGAGGACTCTGCTGGGAGGCTCTGCAGGCATGAAGCAGTGGAGACAGTAGCTGGGGCGACCGAGAATGGCCGGGCATCACAGAAGCGGCCAGGAAGCATCTCGGGGGAAGCTCTGTGGCTGGCAGGAGGCGGGGGAAGCAGCTCCCATTCCCGGGGGGCAGAGGCCAGCTGAGGAGAAGGAAGGTCAACAGGGACCATGAGAAGAGAGGAAAAGGCAGGCAGGCATACTACAGTTATCCTGTTGCCTCCCTTAATTCTTGCTCAAAATACGCTGATACCCTGTCTTTTCAGAGACTCTCACAAAAAGACTGAGGTAGAATTGATTAAGTTGTTGTAAATTTTTTGGTCTGTATGGCCATGTTTTAGAAGTATTCTCTCTTGATGTTTTGCATATATGGCAGGCATCCTCAGAGGTTGTGAGGTCTGTTGGAAACTAGGAAAATTGGGCAGATATCTTTGTGGAATGTCCAGAGTGAGAGAAAGAACTCTTGTCTGTTGGAGCTAGGTGTGAATGTTTCAATTGGCCACCTTGATTAGCATTTAATGGCCTAGGGGGAATCCTTTGTTGAGAGGGGATTAGCTGTCCCTGATTGTTTTTTGTCTAGAATTCCCGTTTTTGAGTGTTGTTCTGATTTTAGAGTTTTTAAATATTGATAGCCAGATTTTGTTCATTTTTCATGGTTTCTTCCTTTCTGTTGAAATTGTCGACATGCTTGAGAACAACACTCAAAAACAGGGGAACTCCAGACAGGAATCGACCAGGGACAGCAAAACTTACAACAATCTAGTGATTATGGCCATGAAAGCCTTCGACAATACGTAGAACTGATTGTTGTATAGTGAAGAAATCTGGATAAAATACCAAAACAGGAAGAACAGACTCCATCTATTTCAGTCTACCAGGCATGGGCAAACTCTGACACCTTCAGGTGTTTTGGATTTCAACTCTCACAATTCCTAACAGCCAGTAACCTAGTATGCAGCAACGAAGAAAAGTCTTTCATGATGTTTAAGGAACCTGTCTGTTGAAACCTGTTTCGGGATGCCAATGATTTCTGAGAGACCTTCAGAGAGCAGCCCCATATAATGTATTACAGCAGTCAAGCTATGGATAATTTTTGAAGTGAAGTAAAAGCCTGACCATAAGAGATGTTCAACAGGAGAACTCACTGCCTCATAGTGTGATAGAAGCTCCTTCTTTGGAGGCTTTTAAACAAGAGACTGGGTGGCCCTTGGGCTCTTTACCAACTCTATGATTTTATGTTCTTAGCAACGGATCTCACAATCCTGGCATCATGTACCATAAAAATAGAGAGGGCGTCTAAACAAAATAAGTCACTTGCCTCTCTGGCCAATACTGGAGTATTTCAATGTTGTAATGTAATTCGGGGAGGGGGGGGGACACTGGGGAGCACCACACTGCCTGTGACTACAATGGGGTTATATGTACAATTGGCAGGCAAGGGTAGCAATCTGCCAGAAATTGGGAAGCAGTATTTTTCCCTAATTACAAACGTCAAAATTCCCAAGCCAGCAGCTCTTTGGCCCCTTGAGCCCCCACATCATGCAAAACCACTCACCCCTTCAGTAAGTGCTTCTTTGTCAGCTTTCGGCCCTTCATTCACTATGAAACGGAGATCAGCATCCTGAAGGAGATTAAGAATCCAATGTATTGCGCTCAGAAACCGGGGCGGGGTGGGGGGAGAAATGAACCAACCCCATCCCAAATCTTTGTCCTTACCTTTTCACTGGCTCCAAACTGGATGGGTGGGCAGGCCCCCGAGTTATCCAGCTGAGCCCCTGCCTCTGACTTCATGGTGCCCAGACCCTCACTGCTGTCTTTTGCTTTCTCTGCTCGCTGGGAACGCTCAGTGCCGATTGCGCCAGGAGGAGGGTGGTCTCGGGGCGGAGGTTCAGGGGAACCACTCACCTAATCAGAAAAGGTAGAGTGGTGAGCCTTCGGGAGCCCTCTTGACCCAGGGAGCAAATGGATCAGTTGAGAGTCCATTTGCCAGGCCCAGCCCTTTGCAGCAAGGAAGCCGTACTTCCACTCATATTGCAAAGCAGTCTTTCCCAACTTTGTGCCCTCCAGATGTTCTGGATGGGAATCTCCATCTCTCTCCAAAGTGCAATCCAAGACATCCAGAGGACATAACATTTGAGAAAACTGTGTGTGTGAAGGTTTCCTCGTCCCTTGAAGAGAGTTTCTACTAGTCACATGCATTCAAAGCCAAAATGCATAAAACCTTGCGTCTAACAGCAACCAGACGCAGAGCCTTCACAGTAGTGGCACCATCATTATGGAACACTCTGCCACCTGAAGTCTGTGCCTTGCGGGATTTATCAGCTTTCCGCAGGGCTTGTAAGACATATTTGTTTCGACAGGCTTTTGATCTTGGATATGTTGTTTAATTTGTGTTAGATTTTAGTTTGTT